TTCCCATGAAGAATGGCAATTGAGATTGTTAACATGACTGGATACATTCTGGACACTCTACAGCAGGCCTGCACATAATATGTCTTGCAGGCTGTATGCTGCCCATGAGGCTACTTAATAAACTTTTGAGTTAATCAAAAGCAGGATTTTATTCAACATTTGTATCTAATTAATTCTTTTAACTCTCTGGATAAAAAGTAAAGGAAAGAATTTTCTCACCCTCCCTCTCTATATATATCTGTTTCTCTCTCTCTTTCTCTCTCTCTCTCTCTCTATATATATATGTTTCTCTCACTTCATCTTTACATATATCTGTTTCTATCTCCCCCTCAAGATATATCTGTTTCTCACCCTCCCTCTCTTTATTTATGTGTTATTATCTATCTCACTCACACTGAAAATCCTATTCATTGATTTCATCCCGAGTAGAGTTGTATCAAATTTAGTTTACAACAGTGAAGAAATCCTTTTGAAACTCCCACATAAGTAATGGAGGTGAGTGTGTATGGTATGCAGAGAGCAGGCATTCCTTTGTTCTCTATTTGAAGAAATTGTGTAAAGAAGAGAAAATCTGACTTCATATTTTGATGTTAGTTGTCTGGGGCAGTGTGTGTGTGTGTGTGTGTGTGTGTGTGTGTGTGTGTGTATGTGGGGGGGCACAAGAATGACAATGTTGTAATAAATCTTTTTTTATTTTGGAATAACTAAAAAAATTATCTAAAGCTAAGGAAGATTGTTACAATTATCAAAAACTAAATGTAAAACTTTCTTGCTAGAAACAGTTGACACCATCTTATCTATTATCAAAAAAGAGATGTGCAATCTTTGTGTTTAATTAAGACATGCCTACTTTTGCAACCCAATGTATTTGTGCAGTCAGTAGTTTACTCAAAAAAATTACTCTTTTGGCCTGTGGTCAATTTTCTACAAGCAATGTGACCCTTTATATTTTTAATTCTGCAGGCCTGACCTACATAATCCCCTGATTTTATTTTAACTCTTCAACTGTGTCAGTTGCAGTCCATTCAACACTTTGAGGTGTTCTGTTGGTTGAAGACTTTCTAGAATGGGAATCATTTTCAATTGATTTCCAGCCAAGTTTGAAGTGTTGGCACCAAAGTTTTATTGGGTTTCACTCATTGAAACATTCATGAAAAATTTATTTAACCTTTGAATTTCTTCCATGAAAGAATGTTGCAAATTCAAACAAGACTTGATACATATTAACAGTGAATTCATTGGTTGCACAATGCATAAAAAAACTCAATGAAATCACTCTACTGACTGAGTAACTCCATGGAGAGTGTCTGTTCATACATGCACAGTAAGCTCCCTTTGAATTGGCTTCCAAGTTATACCAAAATTGCTCAACTGGTTGTGAAGATATAATGGTTGAATGCTTTCTGGAGAGAACTGTTGTATATGAATGAGCTTCTAGGTTTTAGGAGGTCTATGTAGATCAGGAAGAGACGGGAAACAAGAAAAATTAAGTAGCTTTTCATGAGGAAATGAAGTGAATTTCCAACATCAGTCTAAGTAGGTCTGAGCCAATAATCCTCTCAACGTCTTTACATTTTGGAGAATTACTAAATGTACTGAGAATTTTCAAGTCTTCAGAAATATGATGAATGATAAAAATGATAGTTTTGTCATCAGCTGCAAACAATTGGGGAAAGAAATCATTAAAGATTGAGAGGACTTGGGTAGATAAAGAAACTTGTTGCAATGCATTAATGAACAAAATAGTAAAATTGTTGCAATTCAGGAAACTAAAATGTCATAAGAGGAAAAGCATATTTAAGTGTCTTTAATTGAATCAAAGATTATGGCAAATGTAAAAATTGGATGTATAGAAACTGAACAGCAAGGATGCTGTTATCATGTTTGATATCAATGTTGACTTACCTGGCTGTTGTTAAAATTGAGATTAAACATTTTTGTCAAAGACCCTAATCAAAATTTGTTGGAGAACCTTATTTTTTTCTTGTAGCAGAATCACAAATTATTTACCAAATCTTTCAAAGAGTAAAAGAAAAACATTGATTTTCATGAAGATATAGATAAACGGACAAAAAAAAAAAAAGTGTTAAACTTTCACATCGTTTCTTCAACCCACATCAGTCATTTGCACATTTCTGGGTAATAATTATCTTTGTTTTTTTTTGCAATTTGAAGGTCTTCAGCATTTACACTCTTTACATTGTTTGGACAGTTGTCCTCATCTCTATTACCATATTCACAATGTTTTGGCCATATTAGGATTCTTTATCCTCTCCGACTGCCTGGTACACAAACATCATTATTTATATACTTGAGTAGAATTAGCAACAAAAAAAGAAAATGACATAATCAAGATGCTGATGTTACACACTACTTCAAACAAAAAGTTAGGAAGGAAGCCTTGTCAATACTGGAAAGAGTGATAACAGCTAATGGAATTGAGAAACCTATTTTAACAATGATATGAATTTTAAGCAAAATTAATAATGAATACTAAATTTTTAGTTATAAGGAAACAACTAATATTACCATATATTACAACTATTAAACATAATTCTGTAGCTGTTTGTAAACAATATTATTGCTGATTCTACTCAAGTATTTAAATAATGATGTTTGTGTATCAGGTAATTGTAAAGGATAAGATATCCAAATATGATTATGTTTGAATGACTGCAGCAAGAACTCTCTGAAGCCTAATAGGTAAAGCAACTGTCATGTTAAGACAGATTTCCATAGAAAGAGTAAGGCAAAGTTGAATCTCATCAGCGGCTTATTCTTTATTTCTGACCTTCACTGATTACTGACAGCCACAGAGAATTATGATGAAAAGAAAATTAAAAGAAAAATTGAAATAGGCATTTTGTAATGTTTAAAAATCAGTGAAGATTAGGAATACAAATCCATGACATTCTCTTTTTTAACACACTTAAATGCCACTATTAGCAGCCTGTCATTTGGCATCAAAATCTGCAAAGGCAAGGCCTGGGGTGTCCTTGATGGTTTGAGCACTATCTGTAAGTCCTCGCTCTTCAACAATCTTAAGAGGGACTTCTTTAAGGGCATGGTAGAATCTGTCTTGCTCTACGGCTCAACAACATGGACACTGACAAAACACTAAGAAGCATCACTTGACTGAATATACGCAAGGATGCTATGAGTTGCATTGGACATCAGCTGGAAGAAACACCCAACAAAGAAACGCCTGTATGGACACTTATCTCTTAATTTCACTAAGAGAAAGAAGGCTTCAACTAGTTGGTTATTTCTGGAGAAGTAAGTTGGAACTTGTGAGTGACACCCTCCTATGGAATCCATTACATGGCAAAAGATCGGTTGGAAGACCTCATCACAACTACATTGACCAACTTGTAGATTACTCTGGATGCCATCTGGAGGACCTGCCAATGGTGATGTCTGAGAGAGATGGTTGGAGGGAACGAGTTAGGAGAATCCAAGAAGAATTTTCAACCTGATGATGATGATCAGCAGCCTTCAGTTCTTATTTACAGCATTTATAGAATTATTTGTAAAATCTAATTCTAGATTTTGAATGTTTGCAGAAGGAAAGATCTGTGGCCTAAATGATAAGGCTGCTACCATATTCAGAAAGACTTCAAGTGGAAGCTGATTCTTTCTTTCCAATTCATGTTGTTTACGAACAGCTATAATGTTAATCTGAGCTGCAATAAAAAGTAACTGAAATTAAGATGAAAGAAACATGAGTTGTGACAATGATAATTAACAATTAAAATTATATCTTTTAATTAAAAATGACTTTATTAAAAATTCCTTGTTTATTTTTATTTACAAGACACTATTTAAGAATTTAGTCTTTGCCTTAAATTTTTTCTGTTGATATTATTCTAAAAACTGAATGACAATTCAAATAATCTCAGTTATCGAGTCACTAGTATTTAACCCTTGAAGGAATTTTTTTATTTTTTCAAAACTGTTTAAATTTGTAAATGATTTTTATTTCAAGCACCAATTCTGAAAATATATTCTTTTAATTTTTTTTCATCTTTAATGATGAAGAATCCTGCAAAAACTAACAACTGGAAGTCCCTTGATCAAAAATGATACACTTTCAAATTTGGAACATTAGTTTGAGTAGCAATTTTTTTCATATATACAATCTGACAGTTTTTCATCAAAATATGGAGTGGAAAATAATCTGAGGGAATCATTTCATCACTGATATTAGTTTTCTGACAGGATTAATATTTAAAAGAAAATGTAAAGAGACATGACTGCAACTTGTGGGACCATAATTCGCTTTGTACCATTGCCAAGCACTGAAAATGGAACTGTCTTCATACTCTGAAGAAAAAGTTATCATCATTTTGGCTAACAGTGTCTGACAGTTGAGGTCACATCTTCACAAAACAAAGATTCCAATTCCCAATCTGATAAACTGGTCAAATTATTTTCACATTGCCCCATTCTTATAAGTCAGTAGAATTTCATTCACAAGAAATTTCAATGAAGGAAAAACAAAAGGAGTCAGTCAATGGCAACACTGAATAAAACACTAAATTCAATAATGATAAATTCCACAGAATGAAAAACTAGTCACTCAAAGACAAATGAAACTCCAAAAAAAAACCTTTCAATGATATGAAACTCCAAAAAAAAAAAAAAAAATTGTCTGACAATGATAAGAAAAGATAATGAACAAAAACAAGGAATTCAATGATGCCAAAATTCAGTAAAATACTATGCATTCAGTTGATTGATTTTTTATGGTTTATCAACCTTTTGTAGGTTATTTAAAGGCAGAAAATATTTTTGAGATTGTAAGAATATTTTGGAGATAATGATTTACTGATACAAGTCTTACTGATTAACCCATAACTGTGAGCAGAAGAGGTACATTCATACCTTTCCCAAGGTTATTTGCACATAAGTGAATATAACAAAATCTAGCTGGAATTTGAACTCTGCTTTCTGATTTCCAGTTCTGAGCTATTATCTATTACACCACCCACACATCCAAGCTTACAACACCTAATATTCCCAAGCAGTCACCCATCTAGGTATTGACCAGGCTCAGCATTGCTTAAATTTAGTGATCATATGAGAACCAGTGTTTCAACATGATATGACCATAAACCTTATGCATTCAAATGAACAACAATAGTGAGATGGTCCAATAAATTAAAAAATATTTTTTCAATAAGACTCTCTCATGAACAGCAACAAAATAATCATCAAAGCTAAGAAACTCCAATGAACTAAAACTTACTTTTCAATAAGAATCTCCAGTTAACAATAAATTAGTCATTTAGTAAGAAACTCCAATATACATAATAAATATATAAAAAGCAGTCAATCAATAATGGCAAATATCAATGAACTTGTTTTTCAAGGGTAAGAAAATCCAATAAACAAAGAAAATCAAAAATGCATAAAGCGAAAGAATTAATCTTTGAATGGTAACTAAAAATTAAGTGGACGTGAAACTAGTCATTCAATAGTAAAAAAAAAAAAAAACTGAGGAACAAACCAATGAACCTTTCCATGCTAACAAAATCCAGTGAACAATAAAATTAGTACACTATTTACATTATTCAGACTATTGTCCTCACCTTTGTCACCATATTTATTCCTTTTTGGCCATTTTACGCTCCAGTTTTCTTCAGAATGTCAAACTGAACCTTTATCCACTGTGCCATGTGTCCTCAAGAACACATGGCAAAAGTGGATAAAGGCATTAGTTAGATCCAGTGACAGGACCCAAAGAGTGTGAGTTCAATACCTGGTTAAGGCAGTGGAGAACTTGGAGAGGGGAATTAACAGGAGATAACTGATAACCGGCATCCATTAAACATGGCACATGGAATTAGAACAGTCTACCCCAGTGAGCAAAATAAAGGGTTCAGTTTGACATTCCAATCACCTGAAGAAGGTTGGCACGTACAACGGCCAAAACATTGTAATAAATATGGCGACAAAGATGGGGACAATAGTCTGAATAATGTAAATAATGTACATAATACTTCATCTCAGAAATATAGACAGATAATAAAATTAGTCAAAGAACAAAAACAAATTTCAATATTTCAATTATTTCAAATGAATTTTACTGCTTTTTTTTTTGTTTTTTTTTAATAATGAGGTTCACTCTTTACAAGGCCCAGGGGCCACTTGAGGTATTTATGTGTTATAACAAGCTTTAATGAATAAAACAAAATATTCTTTCAATGGTAAGAATCTTGATTGGAACCAAAAAAATAGTTTTTCTATGGTAACAAAATCTGCTGAACAAAATCCTAGCATTTAATAGTAACAATTTTCAGTGGAATAGTTTTTTTATGGGAAAAAACCTAAAATACAAAAAAAAAACGTCTTTCAGTATAGAAAGACATTGATCTTTCAATGGGTAAAAATATCTAGTCTTTACATGCTAACAAATAACAATGAGAAAAAACTAGTCTTTTATTTGTATGAATCTCCAATGAACAAAGATGAAAATATTTCAATGGAAATAAAAATTCAGTGAAAAAAAATTATTTATTCAAAAGCAAACTCCAATGAAGAAAGAATGTCTTTAAAAGGTCACCACTGAAGAAGAAAAAAATATTCTTTAAATGATAATAAACTTCAATGAACATTAATTTTTCTTTCAATAAAAACAAACACCAATGAACAAAAATTACTATTTCAATGGTAACAATTTTCAGTGAAATAATAACCTAATCTTTTAATTCCAAGAAGAAAAAACACGTCTTTCAATAGTAAGTAAATCCAGAGAACAAAAAACTTGTCATTCAATAAAAACAAAGTTAAGTGATTAAGTCAAGTCATTCAATGGCATCAAATTTAAATGAACAAAAAATGAATCTTTTAAGGATGATAAAATCCTGGGAGCAAAAACAGCTTGTTTTTCATTTGAAAGAATCTCTGGTGAACAAACAATTTTGTTATACAATAAATAACAATCTCTAGTGAAGAAAAAAATGTGTTCTTCAATAAGAAACTCCAAATGAGCAAATCAACTCCTCTTTCAATTAAATATAGACTGATGAAAAAAATAGTCTTTCAATCTGAAGAGGTGAAGAAAAATCGCACAATGATAAGAAATTCCAATAAGCAAACAATATTCCTTAAATGTAACAAAATCATTGGAACAAAAAACTCACAAAGAACAACAAATTTCCTTTTATGGATGTTCTTGCAATCTGTATTGAAGTCAGATACATCACTGATATATATGAAAACTGAACACAAATGGCATTGTATCAGAATTTTGATTCAGATCACTACTTCTATGATAAAAAAGAATTCATTCATTGCTTATAATACCAGGAAAATGTCATCAGCAGAAGATTTGAAAGCTAAAAGAATTAAGGAACATCCCATAATATTAGAACTATCTATTCTTATAAATACTAAAGAAATGGGAGAATGAACAACAGATGTATCTGAATACACTTTAATATTCATGTATGCATTTTTATGCCTACACACACACACACACACACACACACACATATATATATATATAGATAGATAGAGAGAGATTATTCAACTTATATATACTTGAGTGTAAAAATATTTATGTATAAATCTATTATTTAGGTGCTTCTATCTATAGACTATCTGATTTTATTATGCAAGTCAATGTTTCCTCAATAAAATTTGCATTAATCAACCAATGTTGCAGAACTTTTCAGGATATATTTATCTGATAAATATAAAAGATGATTTGTTTTCAAAAATATCTACATTAACTTATTTGCTGACATGCGATTTTATTAGGCAATTCAATGGCTGTGATTCATGTTGCAAATATATATATATATATATATATCACCATGGTTGATTTATCAGGAAGGCGACTTATTGATGTTATCAGTCCGGCGTGTGATCCCGATGTGTAGCACCTTTGAAAATGCCTGAAAACCATAATATTGGTTGGGCTGGAACTGTTTGGAAACCATCTCTGGTTGTGCTATCACAAGTTGTTATAAATGAGAGTTTGACCATACAGATTATGTGCTCTCTCCCCAAAACTGTAACTGAGGTCTGCTCAGCATGTGGGCACTATGGGTGTTGAACAAACACAAATATGCCAGAGCAGGTATCTGAAACACAGATTTGCTAACTATCCTAGGTGATAGGTGAGCTCAGAAAAAGGAGAGTAGCCAGACATTTTTTCAATATAATAGTGTAAGAGGAGTATAGTGTAGTGTTACTGACTCATGAGAAGTAGTATGCACTCAACTACCTCATGGGTAATAGCTGTAGCTATTTATAGTCTATATTCAAATGAGTCAGCTCATCTCCCTTTACCATTATCTCCTTATTTTTTCTGGTACTTCTTCTGAGAGCTTTTGTCTCCTCACTATCTTCCTCTCTCTCCCTAAGAGATTGTCTAGATGTGGGAGATTGTGATTTTTTTCATAGGAGTGTTCCTCTACTGATTGTTCATTTTCAGAGTCTATCTTACTCTTGATTTCACTGTCATGTTTGTTTTGATTACAAATGACACTTCATTACTTTCAGGCTCATTATACATTTCTTCATCACTATCATGTTGCAATCTAACTTGGTCTGCATGCACTAATATCCCATTTCCATTTTTCTCTATAATCATAGGGTTCTGTCCACTTTGCATTATGAATCTTGCCTCTCATAGATAAGATTCACTATTCATTTTATACTAGTTTTTTGTTGGTGGCATAAGACATGGTCAATGGGGCTCTAATTTGTCTACCTATGAGGGCAGACAGACTTTTTGACCTTCCAGCATGTGGTATTATAGCTTAACAAAATTCTAGGAAGAAATGTTTCTATCTTTACTGTTGTGGATTCCGGGTTGAAATCCGGTACCAATAAATAACAAACACCAGGAATGAATATATGAAAATAATGTATTAACGTAATAATACAAACTGGTAAAGCAGGTTAGTAGTTCCAGGAATATGGGTTAGTAGCAAAATATATATACAGTTTTTGGTATTGAAGTATCGTTGTATGACTTCTTACTGAGTCTACATGCTCGCTCACTGTGATTCCTACAACACTGTTACCTCACCCTCACTCTTCCGGTTGCCTACAACTCTGTCACTCTGGACTCGACTCAACTTGACTCTTCGGTCTTTCTACCCGGGTATTCATTATCAGTAGTATAAGTATATGCTGGGTGAGTCCATTTGTATAAAAAAGGGGTGGACCCCTCAATGTTTACTTTCCTTGTAAACATATTTTCAATCTGTTTTTTATAATTTGCACCATCCTTTTTGCTAATCCATTTGATTGAGGAGGGTACAGTAGGGTTTTATATGGTTTGCATCCAATTTTGTTCAACCATTGGCACAGTTCCTTGTCGCATAATAACATTTTCAGAAATTTCATTTCTTGAAAATATGGTCCTTAATGCTTTTTTCACAAAGACAAATTTTTGTTGGAAAGCATTATTACTTCTGGCCAGCCTGAATAAAAATCTACCAGTATTTGTAATAACTAGCAGCATGACCTGGCATTGCCTGTGCTTCATTAAAAAATTTTATGACTCATACAGCAATCACTATCACTTGACTTAAAATATTTTTGCCCTTCCTTGCCTTTAAAAGAGTACCCTTTCCCATGCTGATGTTGCTACATGCCTTACTTCTTGCCTATCTCACACTGCAAATTTTTTTCTAAGCTCTATACTAAACATTAAATCTGTTACAAAAAAAAGAACTAAACAAAATGAACACAAAATGATCAGCTTTAAAAAAGGACTCATAACTGGAAAAACCAAATGAAAAAAGAATATTAACAACAAATACTTTTTCACAACCAGCCCAGTTCTGCGGAATCAGAATCAACGTTGAGTTTAAGCAAGCGAATGAGCCAATTGGAGTAAAGTGCCATGCTGATTTAAATTTTTCCCACTTGTGATGAATGCAGCTATTGATTTTTTTTTGCATGCTAGTTAACATTCATGTCAGTCAGCTGTTGGCTCTCACGCTGGCCAATAGAATCTTTCTGCCTATTCGTGGCAGCTAACTATAGGCTCTCACTCTGGCCAGTAGAAAATGGCTGCAAACTACATGAAAACTGCTGTAGAAGCATGAAAAAAATTGATTATTTCGACTATCGATGGAAGTTGGGAAATG